AAGAGCAGTCAGTGCTCTTAACTGCTGAGCCATCTCTCTAGCCCCATAATGCAATTTTTTGAAAAGAAAATATCTGGGCTGGAGAGATGGCTCAGTGGTTAAGAACACTGGTTGTTCTTGCAGAAGACCCGGGTTTGAATCCCAGAACTCACATGGCAGCTAACAACTGTCTATAACTCCAGTCCCAGGGGATCTGATGGCCTCTTCTGTCTTCCACAGGCATTGCACAACACAAGTGCACTTACTTACATGTAAGCAATACACTCATACACATAAAATAAAAATAATAAATAAAATATTAAAAAATTAAAAATTAAAATATCTAAGTTGGAAATGTCTCGCATTAACCTATCACATAGAACATTTGGCGACTGTTGTGACAGACAAAACTGCAGTTCATGGCGGCTGCCCAGCAGCAACATAAAAAGAGGGTATCACGTTGTATAATCATGCTAGTCTGGGAAAAGGTCAAAATTCAAAATGCAAAATATGGTTCCTACTAAATGTATACCTCTGTCACACCAAAGCGTAAGTCAGAGGCCATCTGCTGATTCAGATCCTGCCAGGTTCCCTATCAGGTGTGACCTCGGGCCTGTTCCGCAGTCTTCAAGTCTCATTTTCCTGTTAGGGGTCCATGAATGAGTGCCATTGACATTCCTGGGGTTTCCCTGCAGCAGTCTCTCCCGGCTGTTTCTGCCTCCCACACATTTAGGAGGATGACACCGTGACCCTCGGGAAAGATGGAAGTCAGTGCCCAGCAGGCTTAGGCCCTCCATTAAAGTGCCTCACTGCGATGGGGCAGCTGGAGACAGTGGAGGAGGGCTGGGAAGTCAGTTCTTCAGATTTTAACCGTGGCCACAGTGGCCCTGGAGCCACCCAGAACTCAGTCACGCACTGAAATGGCAGACATTTTCTTCAAAGGCAATATATTCAGTGGCCCGCCATTGTTTAAGGATAAGGCACAACCCTGCCTCTGCGGGGAAAATGCTGTTATAAAGTCCTTCACTCTCTGAGTGTTTTGTTGTTATTGTTTGTTCCCCAAGTGGATGTGGACTGTATGGAATCAGACTGGAGAATTTGACGCCCCGGAGGGAGGAGGATCAATCAGGCGCAGGCTATTTCTGCTCCAGCGGCTCTGAATGGCAGCTCCCAGGGGAGATGAGTGTTTCTTCACTAGGATCGCTTCACAGCCACACAGGATGCAGGACAGGCAGGACCCTGCCCAGTTCCTGCTCCTAGCCAGCCTGGGTTTCATTGAGGTCTGTCTGGTACATGTTGGTGACAAGAGTTTACCTACAGACACACACAGAAGCAAGCCTTCCCAACATTCCGTGTCTCCAGTCCTGTGCCCCTGGGCCAGGTAATCCAGGTCAATTGTGTGTGTGTGTGTGTGTGTGTGTACACAAGTGCATTTCAGCAAGCATGTGGAAGTCAGAGAACTGGCCCCATGGGTTGTGTGCAGAGAGAGAAGGACTGAAAACCCATTGTAACAGGGAAGGCAAGAGGGTTGTGAGGCCGGAAACCTCTGGTTCCCAGCTCACTCCACAGCGTCTTTCTCCCAACACTCTCACCCCAGAGGGGCTGGATGTGGGTGAGACACAGGCTCCTAACTCCAAGATTCTCCAACTTCCCTCCCCACCTGCCACCCCCATCCCCACCCCGCACCTACTCAGAGGAATAAAAAGAAACCCTCTGAGTTCTTTAATCACTCTTTAATAAAACCTTGTGGGGCCTCTGTGCCTCATTTTCCCATCTGTAAAGTGGGATGGACTCAGGATGACGGAAACACACAGTCATGCCTCGACCCTCACCCACCCCGGTACACACACACACACACACACACACACACACACACACACGCACGAACAGATGGAGCTCTCCTCACGGCACACACACACACACACACACACACACACACACACACACACACGAACAGATGGAGCTCTCCTCACCGTCAAGTCCGGCGCCGCACAGGCCACGCCCCTCACCTGCGGCCTAGCCCACGGCGTTGCCATGGCGACGGATGTACACAGGCCAGGCGGCGCGCGGGGGGTGCAGAAGATTCAGTCAAGCGAGCTTGGCCGGACCGCCTCGCCCCAGAGCTGGCCGGAGCCGCCCAGCCCGCAGAGCTCTCTGCGGAGAACAAGGACCGATCACAGCCTTCCCCCTCCTGCCAGGTGAGTGCGGTTCACAGGGAAGCTGCAGGGAGGACCGCGGCTGGTTGGAGGAGGGGTGCTCCCTGGTACAAGCTCTCCAATCCGGTCTTGCAGAGACACCCAGAGGAGATTCCCGAACACCAGCCTTCCTCCCTAAGTGCAGTGCCCACCCTGTCCTAGAAGCAGCCCTATGGGGACCTTATGTCCATGTGATGTCCACCGGGCGCAGCTGGGATTAGGAAGGGAACCCCTGCCTTACCGAAAGCATCCACCAGTGGTCAGAGAGATCCCTTTACCTGACCTCAGCTACCCAGATAGAACCCAAGGCGCTGATGACTTCCCAGCCCTCAACAAACCACTTCCTTCATAGGTCTTCTGACCCATCTGTGGGCGCCCAGGGCACATGATGGGGACTTTTTGGCATATCGGGCCAGATCCAAGTTACAGTTTAACACGTTCAGATGACTGTAATATTATCAGGCAGGGACTGCACAGAGCCTCTACCTGGACAGATTGGCTATAGACGGGAGACCGTTGGATGGGGCCGCAGGCTAGAGGTTTTACCCCTCACACAAGCTAACAAGTCAAAGGATGAAGGGAGAAGACAGGAGACTCCCAGGCCTGAGAAAGGGTCACAGGCAGGGATTGCTCCCAGGGAGGGAGGGGATGATACAAAATAGGCAGGCAGAGGGTGAGCATTCCCCTCTTTGCCTCTTGCTGTTGGGTGATCCTCAGTTCCATAACTTTGCCTTGAGGTGGCTTTACTGTTAATTGAAAAGAAAAAGAGAGATTGTTGTTCTTTGACCTGGACTTGAGACCTCTCATATGCTCCTGGATGTAGCTCAGACTCCAAGTAGCAAGGTGCAGAATCATCAACATTTTAGAAACTTCTGACGCCACTGAAGTTTTTATTTTTAACGTAGAACATATTTTGAAATGCATTAAGGGCTGGAAATGTGAGTGGGTGGAGAAGTAGGAGAAAAAAACAGCAAGCTGGGTGTGGTGAGGCACTCTGGTGATCGTAGCAGTTGAGTGGTGGAGATGGAAGATCAGGAGTTCAAGGTCATTCTAGGCCACATACTGACTTTGAGACAATCCTGGGGTACATAGTAAGTTAAGGTGAGCCACTGACTAAAGAGATGACTCGGCAGTTAAAAGTGCTGACTGCTCTTGCAGAGGACCCAGGTTCAATTTCCAGCACCCACATGACAGCTAACAACCATCTGGTAACTTCAGTTCCAGGGGATCCAACGCCCTCTTCTGGCCTATTTGGGTATTGCATGCATGGGTGCACTTACATACATGTGGGCAGTACACTCACACACATAATATCAAAATAAATAAATACTTTAAAAACGAAATCAAATAATAATGATAGCAAATGTTGATTACAGATTCCAGCAGTGGGTTCATAAGGCTTCACTATCTACTTTTTTGCCCTTTTCTGTTTGTTTGTTTGTTTGTTTGTTTTCAATCTTTTTGAGACAAGGTCTCACTATGTAGTCTAGCCTGCCCTCAAACTCATAGTCCTGTCTCAGTTTCCCAAGTGCTAGATTACAGGTGTAACCACATCCAGTTCACTGTCTACTTGAAACATCTCTATATGTTTGACATTTTTATAATAAAATGTTGGGGCTGAAAATCTGTGCAGGGCCCTAACCACATGGCAGATCTTGATTCTTGGATCTTTAGAAATTATTCCTTGGGCCAGAGAGATAGCTCCGTGGGTGAAAGAGCTGTTGCTGAGCAAGCCAGAAGACCTGAGTTTGGTCCCCAGAACCCATCTAGAGTAGAAAAAGAAAACCAACTCTTGAAAGTTTCTCTGACTTCCACATGCTTGTGTCCACACACACACACACACACACACACACGCACACAGAGCAATAATTATTTTTAATTTTTAAAGAAATAACCCCCTTTTCCTCACTCAATATATGGAGAAATGCAGTGATTTACAAAGAATGTATCAGTTAATACTTGCTTCTTCTGTAGTTTTAAGCCCTGTGGCAGTGTGGGATTCTCTGAATGAGAGTTTGAAAATCCCAGGCTAAAAATGGTGTTAATAGAGGTCCTACAATGGTGTGCTTATATGTGCATCATTGCAGTTAATCTTCAATAATCCCATTTTAGAGAAGAGAAAACTGAGGCACAAGGAAAGAAGTAATTTACCCAATGTCTCTAAGCTAGTAAATGGGCTGCTTGGACCCACTTGTCATGTTGGAACACCATGTTGGGACTGTCGGACTTGAGCATTGGGAATGCCAGATAATAGGGAGATAAGCAGCCATCGTCCCTGAAAATGAAGATTGTAGTTTGGTTGTTTTAAGCTTTCAGTTTTTAGTTTTAGTTTTTTCTAACCAGAGTCAAGAAATGTTGTCAGCTTGATTATCAGATTCAGACTCTTTGCTGATGATCACTGTTAGGAGAGGCAGTTCAAAAGATGCAGCTTGGGGCTGGAGAGATGGCTCAGCAGTTAAGAGCACTGGCTGTTCTTACAGAAGACCCCCATTCAAATCCCAGTACCCACATGTTGGCTAACAACATTCGTAACTCTAGTTCCAGGGGATCTGTCGCCCTCTTCTGTCCCCTTTGGGCACTTAACAACACAGGTGCACTTACACACAAGCAGGCAATATACATATACACATAAAAAATAAAATAAAATGCAGCTTGTCATGGTGATGAGCATCATCAGAGCCACCAGACTACCCTCTGTCTCTGCAGATGTCTCCCTCTGGACACCTCTCTATGGTGACTGTGTGCATTTAAATCTGGTTTAGAATGTGTTTCCCTAACACAAACCCTCTCTGAAACCTTCCACAGGAAAATCAGAGAGAATGAAAGCTTATCTGAAGAGTGCAGATGGCTTTTTTGTCCTAAATAAAAGCACCACGATCGGCAAGCACACGGACTCAGACCTCATCCTACAGGTAAGAGCACTCCTCGCACACCTCTGTTCCACGACACCCCAGGTATCCTAGTGTCTCAAAGCCCAACAGCCAAGCATCCATTGCTGGATGCAGTGTCCTGTCGGCTGCATTTATCTCCGGATGAGGAGGAAGCTGAGTTCTTCCTGGGAGTGAAGAGCCCTCTGTCCATTACCCTACACACACCTGCACAGGTCTCACCTGTTGTTCCTGCCCAGCAGCCTTCTGCATGGATTTGGAAGGTGTGCAGGAAGCAGACGCATTGAATCCCCTCCCTGCCCTGTGCCTGCCTCTCTCTCTCTCTCTCTCTCTCTCTCTCTCTCTCTCTCCAAAACCCCTTGGGACTGTCTAGTCCAGGCAGCCCTGGGCTTGGCCTCCTTTCATTTCATTCTCTGATGAGCTGTGGTTTGGCCCAAAGCCTCTGCTAATTGACAGCCAAGGAAGTGGAAGAAGCAAGCCAGCCATGGAAGCAGAGGCTCAGAGCCTCCTCCGACATTCAAGAGTGGGGCGGAGCCTCTGCCCGGCTGAAAAGCTGGTCTCCCTCCAACCTCGATCCATGCGTCTTTAACACTTTTTATTTTGAAGCAATTGTAGATTCAGAAGGAGCTCCAAAGGTACTAGGGTGTGGGCCTCTGCGTCCCCCAGTGGTTAGAGCTGTGTGACTTATGAGAGTCAAACCAACCAGGACACTGGCCACAGCACGGCGCCTTTATGGGTCCCTCACTTTGTCTCCCACAGGTGCAGATTCACGCACGGTAGCCAAGATTCAGAACCACTCCATCTCCAGAGAGCATCCTCCAAATCCCAGTTTACATTTAGAGCATCTCCTCCCGCCACCCCTCAGCCCTGACATCACTATTCTCTTTTCCATCCTGATAATAAGAATGTTATTTTGAGAATGTCACATCAATACAAACATACCATATGTGAGCTTTTGAGACTAAGGGTTTGTTTTGGTTTGGTTTCTTTGCACTCAGGCCCTGAGATACATTTAGATTGCAATATTGTTCCTTTTTAACTACTGGCTAGTATTCCATGTGGTGGATGTACCACTGTTTGTTTAACCAATGCAGTTCTGGGCATTTTGATTATTTCTAGTTTGGGGCTGTTATAAACACTACTGTACGCAGGGGTAGGCATGTTTTGGGGTAGGTTTTCATTCCTGGGATAAATGCTTGATATGATTGATGGCCCTGTCTCAAATAAAAAAATCATTGATCATATTTGTGTAAGGATATTTTTGATATTTTGATATTTCTCTGTCATTCTCTGTTGATCTGTGCATCCATCCCTCCCTTGATATGGAGCAGTCTTGATTTTTGTAACTGTATAAGTCTTAGGTAGACTGATTCCTTCCACTTTGTTTTCCTTTTGCAAAATTGTTTGACCAGTGTTCATTCCTTTGCCTTTTGTTCTAGTTTTCTTTCTGTTGCTGTGACAGATACCCCGACAAAAAGCAGCAAAGGGAGAAAGGGTTTGTTAGGCTCATAGGTCCAGGTTACAGCCCATTACTGCAGGAGTCAAGGCAGCAGTTGAGGTAGGATGTGTCAAGTATCGCATCCACAGCCAGGAGTACGGAGAAACAAACACACCCATTCTTCCTGCTTGCCTGCCCAGCTAGCCTCCTCCTCTTTTACACAGTGCAGAGCCCAGCCTAGGGAATGGTACTACCCACAGTGGGCTGGGCAATTAACAACCAACACAACCCACCACAGACATACCCACAGGCCAACCCCATCTAGATAATTCCTCAGCTGAGACTCTCCTCCCAGGTGACACTAGGTTGTAGCAAGTTGACT